TGAGGGATCACCAAAGTCATTTCAATTCATCCTGAGGGGGCTTCAGTACCATATTCAACAATCCATCCAACAGCTGAGACATCTCATTCAAAACCGAAAATATCAAAGTCAGTAGGATTATCCTCTTAGAACCATAAATGTCTACACAAAATATCATGGTAATCCATCAAACGCTTGTTGAGATATTTCAGTCTGGACCAAAGTGATTCACTGACAGACTGACAGACATAACACTGCCACCCCTAGAGTCGTGCCGCTAACGTAGCTAAAACTGCAGTGTAAAACAGATAGAAATCAGCCTGAAATGAGTGTTAATAACAAATATATTAGTGATTGGTGTAAAAAAAAATAAGGGCAGCGACATAACTTCTTATTCATTTTGATTGGGCCAACCTTTATGTATTCTTATTTTCCCACTGTGATACTAATTTCATCACTAAGAGCTGATGAGATGACATCGGCTCAGAACAACACTGCACCCCCTAATGTGACAGCACTTCAAACCGTTCATTATCATCAGTTACTCTGCAAGACGTCGCAGAAGCAAGTGTCTGTAGTCACACAGAACCTTGTCCATCTTAAGCCACCTAAGAGGCTTTGCTTTTGGGCTAAATCAACTAATCACAAAGCTGCTAAGAGTCTCCACCCTTCTTCATAATATGAGATAATTAGTCAGGTAGTAGGGTGGGGGGGAAAAAAAGACGTGGTTGCCTTAAGAGCCAGAGATGAGGCTTGTTCGACAAAGCAGAGCCAGGAGTTTGGCGTTCACTGGCAGCAGAGGGGGATCCCTCTGAACAAGTGGGTGCTCCAAGCCGAATGAATGAACAGAGGGCACTTCTCGTGCCCTCTGCGTTACGAGGGTGCACACACACACTGCCTCCCAGCAGACTCCTTCACTGGGTCATCAAGTGACTCATTGTGGAAATCGCCTTTGACAACAGCAGCTTGTGCTGTTTGAGGAATGTTTTCCATTTCTTCATCCGAAATCCCTAAAGTCCCCACCATGGGGAATTGGCAAGGGGAAGGAGAAAGAGAGGCAGAGTGAAGAGGAGGAGGAGGAGGAGGGGGAGGGGAGCAAAGGAGAGAGAGGGAGCACAGTGGAGAAGACAGAAAGGCTTTGGATGGAGAGGATGGAAAGTTTGGAGAGTGTGAGCCTATATTTAATTCTGGTTGCCAGGCAGCCGATGAGCAACAGGGGAGAAAGGGATGGAGGGCAGGAGAGGGACCACACTGGGTGACGGTCCGACATGTGGATCGACCCAAAAGAGGGCACGTTCATCCAACATCGTGGCAGGAACGCACTCAGAGCCGGTCATGGGAAGGCAACTTTATCAAAAACACACAATTGGCTCAAATTAGGGGGAAAGCACCAATCATCTCGGAGCATGACATCACCGCCAGCACACAGCTGAACCATAATTCAGCTCCAGTGGGCAGGAAAATTAAAAGCACAACATCTTTTATGTTGACAAGCTCGCCTGAGATATCAAAGTTGAGTCCGTGTGACTGTGAGTTCAGTGTATGCAGAGAGGCAGGCAATGTGTTTATGACACGCGGCATCATAAAAGCAGAGGAAATACTGCATCACTGAGGGCTTGTGTGACAGTGATGTTGTCCAGGCTGCTCCACTGTGTTATGACTGAAGTCAAGGGGAGGAGGGACCTTAAGGCTGAACTGCATTAAGACTGGAACGTGCTCAGAAGAAGTGCAGCCAATTTGGGACATGCAGAAGCAACAATGCTCAAAAACTGAATGTATAATCCTCTTTGATTCTGCCATAGATGTCCTGCTGATAGTGGTAGCAGACATGCTTTTAGTTTGCTTTCCTCCCTAAGACCTGTTGATCAGATGATGAAAAAGACCTAGTATTTTACTTGACTCCACCAGGGACTGTGTGAGTCAGTGCCTTTTAATGTCTAAAATGATCCCACAGACTCTGAGGCGACCGGTTTTTACAGCTATCCCCATATATCAACATAGTATGCCAGAAAAAGAAGCCTATAACTCAGTGAGCACAGCAGAGAATGGCCCAGCCTCCCAACATGATAATAAACTAACACACAGGCCAGATATACTGCTGCTGGAACTTTAAAACAAACCTACACATGATAAAGTGACGAGTTTAAGCTAATTTATACTTACAGCTTTGTTAAAAGTAAAGGAAATGTTTAGTTTACCGCCTCTAACTAACTCCGTGATGAGTGAATTCAACGCTTCTTCGCTGTAAAGGATAATTAACGGATAACCGTTGAGCGCCAGTTAGCATAAACTCAACGGTTATCTCGCGAGCACGCACTTTATAATTAACGGTTAAAGAGTAACCTACCTGATGAAGCGCTGTCAGTCCGTCTATGTTGGCGTGGTTGATGTCAGCTCCCTGCCGGAGCAGCGCTGCCACCTCCTCCCGGTCCCCGGCGGAGCAGGCGGCCATAAACACGGCTCCTTGGGCGAACCGGACTTTCGCCCGCCGCATCCCGGAACCGCTCGAAGTTTCCCGGGCCTCGGATCCCGTCCGATCTGTCTCCGAGCCCAGCCATCGCTGCAGCTGATCCTGCCGTCGCTGTTTGGCAGCTTCGGACCGGGAATGGTCAGTGGCCGCCATCTTCCCTGGTCTGTCCGGACAGATTCAGCTCATGGTACGAGGAGAGGAGCGGAGTCGCTGGTTTGGATTGAGCCTGCCCCGGGCTGTGCCCCCTCTGGTGGAGACAACCGGGAACCGGATGGTGAACTTCACTGCGAACTTCTGACTGAGTGGCAGTCCAGTGCTGCCTTCATGGGGTACTCGGAAATCTCTCATACAGTGGGAGGGACTGTGTATTTTCTTCTCAACACTGCATTTACGTTGCCTTTTCTTTTCTTTTCTTTTCTACAACAGTCAGACAATGATGGATAACTTAAAGACAAGAAGAAAAATAAGTCTACACAAGTTAAAGTGCAGACAAATAACCACAATAAATGATAAATAAAAACGATTAAAATAAATAAATAAAATTAAAAGCCTGTTTTCCCTAACTGAGGAATGTTACATTTTAATATTTCAGTTTAGTAATAGATCATTTCAGGACCCAGATTCTTAATACCTTGAGATTTTAGATTTACTAAAAGATTTTACTCACAATTTAACTGAGTTTTAAGTTGTTTTAACTTATGTAAACTGTTTTTTCTTTAATTTTATTTATTGTACATGTGATCATGTGCTTTGTGTTTTAGTGTAGTGTTGTGTAACATTTGGAGACAAATAAAGTGATTGATGAAGTAACCATTGATTATGAAGACACTTGAAAAAAACAAACTTTATGATTCAGTGTAAATTCTCTACTGACACCAGTCCATTATGGACTTAGAGTGAGTCTGGGTGTGAATCACAATAAAGCATTGTACTTAGAGTGTCACAGAATTAGTGACAAATAAAAGTGGAATAATAGATATAATTTACAGATAGGCTATATACATGAAGGTCAACATAACTTTCAGATACGTATGTTTTACAATAAATCACAGACTGCATTCTTTCAGAGGCAAACTAAAAATAGTATCCCTAAAATACTATTTGAGTGAATATATATCAGAGTTGCTCCTCAGTTCCCATATTTCCGACACCACTTGAAGTCGCAGTCACGTAGACTAACTACGCAACAATAATAAAGGAGCATGTCGAGCGTAAAAGGTAAAAATCAGTGTAATCTAAAAATCTAGTTCAACAAATATTTAGTCTTTGTAGCTGACGCGTTTGATGCCAAGATTCCCCGAGCTTATCAAGGACACCCGGTTAAACAGCTTGCGCAACAGACCACAGCTGATAAGACGGTGTGTGATGATGAGTTAGTTATGATGTGTGAGCAGGATGAGGGGATTCCCGATATGCGCCTCTACTCCTGACAGTACGGCCACCGTTAAATGTCTTTAGTTAATCATTTTTATTTAGCAGCATTTATTACTATACCATGTATCTTGATTTATAAGTTGAGGTCAAAATTTATGCACCTTAACGCTCATACCCTCATGTTTTTAATGTGATAATGACAATAAACTGAACCTTGAACCTTATTATAATATAAAAAAGTATGTATTTATGTATGTAACTTATGTATTGCTGCACAATTAGCCTATGTTACAGGTTACTGTATCACTACATTGCACTTTATACTTTACATTATACCCCATACTATATTATACTCTACTATACTACTCCATATCATGTTAATGTTACATTGTTTTATTACATTATATAATGTATTATATTTGTATTGTAATTCTTATTATTACTGAGAAACAGTGAGTATTATACTGCTGACTCTGTTGTTAATGCTCACATCACTGTCACTTTTACCCTGTAATTTTTGTCTTTAATTGTTCTTGTAACTTCTATTCATATTTTGTATATTTTTTTATTTTTTTGTGTTATATACCTTTATTTTTTGAATGTATTTGTTTATCTATGTTCATTTCTATCCTTGTGCTGCTGCAACTACTGACTTTGCCCTCTGAGTCTTTGAGTCAATAAAGGCAAATCTTATCTCATCTTTTATTTATACACCTTTCCAACATATTTTACTATATTCACAATACCAGAATAACTACTGTTATTATTATATTAGTGGATTTTATCATCACAGTTCCTAATTTTTCTAAGGAGGATTTAATTAATGAAATAACATAGCATAAAATTCAATTTTGGGTCATATAATGGCAAAATGAACCTGGGACTAATAAAAAAAATTAACCTGTCTTGCCAATTTTCAGATTACACACTTTCTGTTTCCCTTTTCCCTTTAGACTGTCATGCAGTGCATAAAAGATTATTGCTGTGATTATTTGTCATGTTGCTGGATGTCAGGTGCCTGATTCACTGTTTGGTTACTGTTACGGCGTGTGTACTGTTCCCTGGTCTGTGTACGCATTCATTGTAAGTCAGAGCTTTTCTGGGTAATGTGAGGATCACTGTTGTTCAACTCAACTCTGAGTATTCACAGCAATGACAAAACACTCATGGGGAGAAGTCAATGTCAAACAACACCAGTTATTTAATGATCACTTAAATAGTATTCCTTGTAACATTCTGACAATGTTTAATTCACTTGGCAATTATTTCATTAAAGTTTAAGGCACAACAGAATTTCTTGTTGTACACAGTACAAGAAAAGCATTCAGTCAAGTGGTATTAAATGAAAAAGTGCAATTTAGATTAAAGTGATTCTTTGATTAATTAAAAAAATACATTTTTGATTGTATGTGCAAAATGTAAAATTTGTAATATAAAATCAAAAGATTTTGATTTTGAGCAGAAATACAACATAGATTTAAATTAAATCTTAAAAAGCTGTAATTTACATGTAAGTAAATCAAGTTTCCATGATTGGAAAAACAGAGCAGAGAAGTGTTACACATTTTCATATAAATAATTATAAAGACATAAAACAAGGACATTCACACAAACCAAAGACAATGTTTTTTTTTTACAATACTGCATTGATACTTGCATCATGGAGTAACTACATGTAACAAACAGATCGATGCATCCACTGTTGGTCAGAGGCGACTTGGAGCTCATAACCGGACGCAGGAGGAACACTGTTGTGTTTAACTACTGGTCTGTCTACATTCCACTAAAGCATAAACAGTCTCTTATTTTAACAATGCTATTTCTAGTGTGCATTTTTGTTAGTAACGTCCTGTAATTCAAGCTTGTACATGTTTGAGCGCATGTGCTAAGTTTAAAGGCACTTCTGTAGACACAACAGACACACTGTGTCTACAGGTTGCCAGATTATACTGTAGCTAAAGACTCTTTAGTGTCACGAACGTATTTAATACACGTAAAATATTAACATGGTAAATTATTACCATTTTCAAACACTACACAAAGGGGCTGATTAGATTACAAATGGCTTTGGCATCTTAAAAGTATCTAAATATCAGCGTGTAAACAGATATTAAAATCTGATGCAAATACTGTTCAAATGTTTTGGACCTAGAGTTAGTAAGTCTGAACCTCAGTGCCACTTCCATCTTCACCAGAAACCCTCCAGGAGCTCTTATGAGCCGCTGATGGTTTTCTCAGAGTTGGCAGCAGGTGGAATATCAGCAGAATCTATGTTCATTACGAGACCTTCATCGAAGGGGAGGGCGGGAAGGCTCTTATCTGGCAACATCGGTCCAGTGTTGAAGGAGCTTTGCAGGTCCATGTTAACACAGAGCACTCCAGACAGCAGCTGTCTCTTGTAATGGTCGAGACGCATGAAGGCATCCAGGACCGAAGAGCTGCCTCCATTCACCCAGCTGGGAAACAGGTTGGCGGAGCTGAGCTGGGATGGGAGGGACTGGGAGTGGTGGAGCTCCAGCTGCCAGGAAAGCCTAGAATAAGAAGTGTTAAAGATGAGTTCTTTCTCACCCTGCAATTCACTCCTTGCACATATGCTCACTCACTGTCTCTCCATGTCATTATCTGGGTAGGTCAATTGAGTCATCAGCTGATACACAATCAACCAATAGCACTACGACACACCTTCTCTGTCAGCCTATCATCTCACTGCTCCTCATTCTAAATATGGTTCTTTTCTGCTGTAGTTCTTTCTTGCTGCTGTCATGCGCCCTCCACCTCCTCATCACCATCTAGTCTTTACAGATTCATCAGCCTCATACACTTTGGCAGTCAGCAGCCTCAGAGTCATCAGCCACCACCACCACCAGTGTCTGGACTGCATGGGGCGATTTCTTTTACTTGAGAAATCAGGATTTGTCGCACATGATGTATTGCTGCTCCCGTGCTTTATTCCCACACCAAACAAATAAGCAACGTTTCGCTTCATGTAGGAGGCTTCATCAGGCTTACAGAGTAAAGGGCAGTCCCTCTATTTTTTAGAGCATGTCCTCCAATAAGAGTGAGGCTATCTGGAGACCTACAAAATACATATAGGAATAATATTATTTCTCAATCAATCAATCACAGATGCATTTTATCATGTTTTTCACAGATTCAATTAATACACTTATGAAAAACCATTTATAAAAACCATTTATAAAAAGAAAAAATATATACATACGTATTATTTACAAAAATGGTCTAATATCAAAGTCCAAATGCATCCCATGGGGTTGGAGTGTCTTTAATTTATGGATCCAGAATGTTTCCCTTTGTTGTAGTAGTCTGGTCCGATCCCCCCCTCTTCGTGGATATTCCAATCTTTCAATACCAATGTACCTCAGCATAGAGACATTATGGCTCATTTGTTTAAAATGTGCTGCCACTGGCTTTCTCATATCTCCTGTCTGGATATCACTTCTGTGTTCACTTATTCTAGTTTTAAGTGCTCTTGTCGTCATACCAACATAGGCTAGAGAACATGGGCATTTAATCATGTACACCACATGTGTTGTTTTACATGTAATCGTGCCCCTGATCTTAAACTTTTGTCCAGTAGTAGGATGGTAGAAAGAGTCACATTTATTGGTGAAGTTACATTGTGCACAGGCTCCACATTTGAAATTGCCTGACAGTTGATTTAGGAATGTAGCAGATCTAATTGGGGGGAGATCTGATTGAGGGATTTCTTTTACTGCCACTCAGATGTCTCTTAATCACAAAATATCTCACTCTGGTGTCTAAGTGCCAAAGTTAAATCTTACTCAGCACAAATCATCTGTTAATCTGCACACTCATATTCTGTATTAAATATTATCTTTACTTCTTTCTTCTGTCTCTCCTGATTGAACTATATGTATCAAGTGATGATGAGAATCTGCAGCTCCCCTCGGCTTTCGAAAGCTTTATGGTTAGTTTGAGCTCATTGTTTAGCTGTCCGCCCACACACTACTGTTTTGATTCACTCTCATAGTGTTGTTTTCAGCCGCAGCAGGCAGCTGTTTCAGTGAAACCCACTCTACACTACCTGCTCAGCATCAAAAAGGCACACAGACAAAGTTAGCAACTAGCTGAACACAATGGAGCCTTAAGCAACCTAAGAACCAGTGGTCAGTTGCATCTTAAGTTTTCTACTAAATTATTACACTTAAGGCTAATTTCCTCCTAGCTGAGGGACTTACTTAAGGGTGTTGCACAGAATCCCTTTAAAGAGTTATCTGCAGCATTAAAAAAAATTACAACCTCAAAGTTATGCAATTTTCATGGAGATTGTTTGCTTGCACAAGCACTAGTGATACCTGTTAATGCCTCATCTGTTACTGTCTCACATATTCTATGAACAGTGAAGAAAAGAGGACAAGAAAAGAAAACTGTTTAGAGGAGGAAAATGTCTTACTTCTGGTCAAACAGTAAAAAGTAAATGTGATCCACAAATAACAGCAAACAGAAAACAATAAATGTGGGAGGATAATGCAATAAAATCTAATGATGTACGTAAGGCAGGTTTCTCTCTACTGTCTTACCATAAACTTACTAGTTACTGAATTAACTACCAAAGGGCTGTGGGTGAAGTAAGAGCACAGGGACGGCTTCTCTGTGTAACTTTAATGTCCGAAAAAGAACGCAGGACAACTGAACATCGACAACACTAGTGGCACCTCACATCTTATATTCATCACTCCATCAAACTTAATTATAAGTCTACCTGCATGTAAGGAGCGCCATATTAAATAATTCCAAATTTAACGTAAAGAGCATATAAAACATGTAAATAATGAACAGAGACAACTACTATAATCTACTGGATACTTCCTCACAAAGTTACATTAAGATAGAGTAAGAGGTACTGTAAGTTTATCCTTACTTTGGTTGCCAAGCTCTTTTGCACAAAGGTTTAACTAGATTTAAGGGATCCCCTAAGTGTAAGACTAAGAGAAGGAGAAAATCTTAATGCTTAAGTGAACACTTTAAGGAAACAGAGAAGGAGAAGAATTAAGGGTGTTTTGTGCAACTGCTTTTATTTAAAGGAAACCTTAACTCAGACCTTAAGGAAAGTCTTAACTTAAGGTTTTTGGTACAACCTGCCACAGATATTTTGCTCTGGAGTTGGTAGAGACCAAAAACAGAGCCAAAAAAAGAGTTTAAATTGGACTGACATTCAATGGGTGGACAGAAATGAGTCTCCAAATGAATGATAATGTTGCTCTGTGTCTGCTTGCTTCAGTCGTAAAGGTGATAATACACCAATCAGCCCAAACATTAAAACTACTGACTAAGGGAGCCACTAAGGAAAATTAGCTATGGCACCAAAACCATGTACCAGGCTGTAAACAGGTTTATCTCTGCTGTAAAGTCACCTACCTGGCAGATACATGCTGGGAAATGCTTTTGGAGGCCTGGTTAAGAACATGCTGCGCAACTTTTAGTAACTGCTCCCGAATCCATCCCACATCTTCTTGCACATCTGGCAGCCACTCCAGAAGCCTACACACAAGATATGTCAGTGTTAATCGATTGGCACAACAGAGGGCTGGTCCTTCATTTTAATGTTTAACAGTGTTACTGTTACAAAAAATAAAATGACACACACGTAAGACCCCAGTAGACATACAGTAGTAGTTCTGTGGTGTGCTGTAGTATTACTCTGAGTGTGCATCAATTAATGAGGGAATGGGATCAGATGTAATTAAGTCCTACGGTACCTGAGAGTCAAGGACATAGCAGACTCCACGGGGAGCGTGTAGGGGAGCATCATGGCTGAGGCCATCCTGACAGGAAGGAGGTTGCTTAGCGACCGCCTCAGGCTCCTCCTCTCCATGCAGGCCTCCACTAGAGCTGCAGAGGGAGGCAAAGAGAACCACAATGGTAACCACAGAATATTCATAGCATTAACCTGCTTTATGTAGCACTAGTTATGAGCAAAACAGGAGACGTGCTGTGTGTTAAAATGTGTATATTTAACTAAAAATGTCAGTACAGTGAACATAATATAATATACAAGGTACTCTTGTCCAATCCATGTTTGAAAAGGGAACTATTAACCAATGGAAAGTCGCTCACAAAACACCCATTTGTGTGATCGTGCTGTTCTGATTACAGCTACTGTAAACTGAATGCATTGACTCAAAGGACTATACTTTATACTGGAACTGACCATTGTCCATTTCTGAATTTCTGTATGTATTTATCAAATCCCTAATGTCCAGGCAGCCACTGATTTGGTAACATTATCTTTGCATTTTAATACACTGACAACTTTTAAATCAGTTGGCTGTTTTACCTGCATTTCTTTGCAAACATGTGAACAAGCAGATATGGTGTTAAACTATGATGAATTATCTAACTCAAGCAAGACACTTCATGTCCGAAAAGGAGTAGAAATAAGTAAATACGTATCATTCCTACCACTTTTTTATACTTTATTAATGGCCTTATTATTAAACATGAGTATTATCTCCCTCCTCTAAAGATAAATACTCATTAAAACCCACTGGATTATGTGAAAGCCAAAGCAGGGCTGTTTTTCTTGACATTTTAAAGATACCTGATTTTCCCAGGAAAGTGACAATAGATGAGATATGACGCCATAACTTTCATTCATGCTTCCCTAATATGTTACCTTTGTGCAGGGTGGGTGGAAGGTGCTCAATGATATCCTCATCTGTTATGGAACTGCATGGAACCACCACTGCTGCCTCTTCCACTTGTAGCTGTTCCTCCTCCTCACCGCCTTTATTGTCCTCCTCCTCCTCCTCCTCATCATGATAATACTTATTTTCTTCCCCACTAGAAGGCAGGGGTCTGTGTCTGAGAGGTCCGTTGAAGTTAAGCAATCCTGAGGTAATTTTTCAGTTAGTTCAATTATTCAACTAGATTAGAATAATCAGCATATTTTTTAATGGTGATTTCTGTAATGCAGTGTTGATTATGTGCTTACAAACTGCCAGAAAACATAAACAAATAAGCAACTATAAGGAGTAACAATAGTTCAGTCACAAGCAGTCTATTGATTTGGTGACACGTGGTCACAGGAAGCTGATATCATATCAGCATGATACCGTTTCTGCATACAAATATGTTCAGGCTAGAGGGCAAAAATCAAATAGGCTTGTTTTACTGACCAATTACAATTCTTTTAAACAGAACATAACATGTGTAGGTGACAGGCTGGAAAAAAGATAAATCACCATTCCTTACCATTCCTCTTTAAAAACTGCAGAGCATCTTTATATCCCTGTTTACACATGGCCTTCATAACCTGCACTCAGAACAAACACATACATCAAGTCCATTGAGTTCACTCCCGTTCAATCACTTTATCTGTAGATGTGTGTGTTTATGATCAGCGAGGCTGTAATCAAGTGACCTACCATTGGGTCGGGAGGGAAGAGTGCCCTGGAGACTCTGTAGAGGTTAGTGAGAGTGAACTGGATGCTCGTGTTGGTGAATCGCAGCTCGTGTATGTTGGTGGAAGTGTCTCGGGGGCAGATGTCGCTCTCTCCGGAGAACGGGGACACGGTGATGGTGTTTTTCAGCTCGTACTGAGGCAGGTTGTCAGAGATTCCTCCGTCGACATATCGCTGAATGATACACAGTAAATATCAGCATCAGAAAAAAGAGAAACAGATCATGAATTGCACAATTTCTTCAAAAGGTTTGTCATCTGATGGCACAGTGTTATTTGGCCACAGAGTGATCATCCCATGTGATGTGATAATAGTGACATCATTACTGACTATTGTTTGTTTTTATGAAAGCTGGGGTATTTTTAAACTTTGAGGTGGGAGGCATGACAGATTAGACTGACATCAGTTTCTCGAATTGGAGCCACAACAATTTGGAGAGGACAAAAAACCCTTAAGGGGACAGTTCACCCTAAAATTGAAAATGCTTATTTTCCCTCTCACCTATCGGCCGTAAAGATGTCTCTTTGAGCACCACAAACCGAGTGCCATCTAGTTCCTTTATATTGGAGAGAAGGCAGACATCTCTACGGCTGAAATCTCCAACACTTGGCAGTTCATACTAAAACAATCTAGCCTGATGAACAGCACAACGGGTCAGCGGAAAAATATGTATTTCTGATTTCGGGTTGAACTGTCCCTTTAAAGCCTGAGTCACTGCGGTCACATCTGGCTCTGCCACTCTCACATTTTGGCCCTGCATGCACACACACATACACACACAGGCACATGTAAGCTCTTAAAACCCATCACAAAGGCCACAGAGGGAGGGTGGGAGCGCTGGTATTGCGCAATGATATTGCCCAGAAAACCTTTGCACTAGAAACATGTCCAAGTTGAAAAAAAAATACAAGTTCTGCTTTCCCCTTTTAGTTCAGAGATCGCTGACAAACACTAACTCCTGAGGAATTTTATAATTGTTGTTTCCACACGCATGCCATTCAGGGCAAACACATTCTTGAGGAAGGGAGGGCACCGATGGGGGCACTTACAGAAGAAAAAAGGTGCTAAATTTAACAACAACAAAACACAATGAGAGGAAATACAGCACAGGCTGCATGGTAGACTACACTGGTCATTACACCTCTGCAACAGCAAAAACGAATGTGCAATTCTTAATTTGAAATCCATGAAAGTAATTAAGGTGATTTATATTCATTAGAACAAATACAGGATATGGACTACACAAGGACAGAGAACACAGGCTGAATAATATTGAATCTACTCACCACTCCTTGCAGTGTCGGAGGAATAATGCCGCAATACACTGGGATGTAGGCACTGCAGACACATGCCTAGTTCACCAAAGAGATCACATAAGAAAAACATTTTTGACAAATTGTTGGAGGTGAAATTACAGCTGAATGATATATGACATTGGTATAAAAGTGTAAAAATATATATTACAAGTTATCACAGTGTCATGATACAACTTACAGCAAATGCTGTCTTCTTCTGGTCTTAAGAATGCATTACAGTTAAATTATATTACATTACTGTGGCTGAGTCAAACAAACAATCACTGCCTACCATTAGGGCTACAACTCACAACTATTTTAACTATCGATTAATCTGCAGATTATTTTTTCAGTTGATTGATTAATTGTTTTGTCAAAGAAGTGTGAGTAAATAGTTAAAATGTCATAATTTTCCAGAGCCCAAGGTGGCGACCAACAGTCCAAAACACAAAGACATTCAGTTTAAAATGATATAAAACTGAGAAAATTAGCAAATCCTCACATTTCAGAAGTTGAAAACAGAGCATTTGGCATTTTCTCTTGATAACTGACTTAATTGGTCAATTTGCTAATGAATTCAGCTCTAAAATCATACAATCATAACCAAATTACTGATAATTTCTCAAATTGTGGCTTCATGTAAATGGCCCCAAAACACCGTCACATTATCAGTGTTGAAATATTAAATCAACTTTTGTATGTACCGTACAATATTACTGCAAAACAATAAATACATTCCTGGAAAAATACATATTAAATCAACTGTATCCTGACATCTGATTCCAACAATATCAACCAACTTTACATTAAAATATTGAGAGAAATGTTCTCCAACTCGTTCCCCACCTGCACCACCTCCTCCTTGTTGTTGTAGTGCAACACCAGGACGTTTTCTCCATCTGACACTCGGGTCAGAGAGATTCCCAACCGCCCGCAGGCCCGATGGTGGCTATCCGCCGGGAGAGTGCGCCGCAGCATGTGACGCACAATCTTCACCAGGTTAAAGGAAGGATGCATGGGTCCCAGGAATCGCTTCCTCGCCTCTTTGGCAACATCGATGATACTTGCACCAGCCTCCCCTGAGAAAACATGAAGACATCGTTACTGTAAATGATTAGATAAAGATAATATAGCACTTTGTTCATCCTGTAGGAGGTTTTGAGATGAGTAAAGTTATTTATGCTTTGTCTACATTATAAATTAATCAACTGCAGCTTCAATTAAGTATATTTTTTGTTAGATATTGTACTCAACTATAATTGGAAAAGCAAGTTCACAGAAAAGCCAACAGTTATTTTCTTACAAAACAATCAGGAGGATGTTTCCCTTGAACATTTACCCCCTTGTAAGACAATTAAGAGTGAGTCTTCATAAGAAAATATGTTTATCATTTTGAATAGCACCATTAGAATGGAAAGGGCTTCATTGGTATGGCATATTCATTTTGACATTGTTATAATCAGAATACCATATTGGTCCATTGATAATGCTTAATGTAGATACCAGTGTTGGAAAGGAACTTCATTTTGAAGTGCTTTAAATAAGAGTATTTCGCCTACATTTTATGCAATGTTATCCTTTTACTTTACTCATTTACACAACTACTTTTGTCTGACAGCTGCAGCTACTTGTTGCTTTGCAAATAAACATGATAAAACATGACACTGTTAAATATTAAACTACTCAAGAGAAATGTTAGCTCCATAAAAAATAGCTCCACCTCCTCAAGCTACAACATTAAAATGTTGCCTATATGTTAATGAAATAAAAGTAATAATGCATTGTAGGGCTTGGCTATGTATCAATAATAAATTGATATCCTGGACTAGATGTCATCTTAACTTTGGATACCATAGTATGTGTTGTCTTTTGCTTTTTTTAATGGCTGCATTACAGTAAAGTGATGTAATTTTCTGAACCTACCAGTACGTTCTAGCTGTTCTATTATTTGCCTTTACCCACTTAGTCATAATATCCACATTACTGATGATTATTGATCAAAAATCTCATTGTGTTAACATTTTTGTAAAAGCCCTCATAACCAGTCTTTAATATTTAATATCAATATCCAGGTATTTGGTGAAAAATATTGTGTTATTTGTTTTTCTCCATATTTTCCAGCCCATATCCATTGCTGTAGTAGCTACAATCTATGACTTTATCACTGTAAAAGAGGTGATTCTGCAAAATGAGCACTACCAATACTTTACAATTTGGTGGCAATACCTCATATACGTTAATACTCTTTCTTGTAACAGACTATGTTTACAGTGTACCATGAGTACTTAACATATCTTTATCATCTGTAGGAAACTAAAGCAGTTTACAGCACAAGTGTTATACACTTGTTACTGGAGTTTTGCACTCTTATCGTCTATAACAGCATCCTTTCCATCTCCTGGAAATGAATATATATCTAAAAGACACCTACCAAGACAGACTCCAGTGACCAGTGCAGTGGCAGTGAGCGCTCCAGCTGATGCTCCATATATGTGCCTGGCATGTTGCACCAGGAAAGGCGCCTGCTCCAGCAGACAGCTGGCTACACCGACGTGGTAGATACCGAGGAAGCCGCAGCCCGCGAACGAGATGTTCCACGGGGAGTCGAGAGGAAACATGCCGGTGTCCGTCCGCTGCTGTCAAGTGAGCCGGAAGTCGCTGGCGAGCGGCGGGACAAAGTCCACACGCAGATTTATGAACTACAAAATAACTAAAAGCCTGCTATTAAAGCTGAACGTTCACATTTAGTTACTGATTGCTATTTACATGCTGTCTTCAGGTAAATGGAGTTTGTCTGCTAACTGTTTTTAGCCTTCTAGCTAACGGTAGGAGTCACTTTTGTCAATGTAGGTGACGTCGTTAAAGTTATATTATCTGAAAGTACCTCATGCTGTAGTTCAATCCAGGCAGTAAATGTGTCATTAACCCCAGCCCTGAGCTGGTTAAATAGGTGGTAACGTTGTATGGTGAGACACGGGGAGTTGTTGTTATTTCACTCACTCTGTCCGTGTGTACTGGGAGGAGTTAACCGGCTTGTCCAATCATAATCGACATCGCAGTGCACAACAACCAATCACAGTTGAAATAGTTGCGAAAGTGACCAATCACAATCCACACCGCTGGTGGCACGTGAAGTCAACGAGCGGGCACTCAGTTCGCTGTGACGTCTGTCAAATGTTTGTCCCCAGGCGGAACAACGCGTTTTGTTTTGTCCTCTCTAAATGTATCATCCTCAATGTGTTCGTATTTTTTGTCTGTTCATATCAACTGGGTCATATCGGTTCTTTCTTTTGTAACAGTTGTTATCATTAGGGATAATGTGTATGGATTTTGGACTGTGCATGAGCCTATTGTTTCGATCAATAAAGCAAACCTTTGACAGTGCGCACTTAGGTTGTTTGGTCTTGTTTATTTTTGATAATTTTGCAATACAAGAAACACTGCCAATGTTTTTTCAAGAAAGGACCCGCAGTAACTTCATCTCAGGTTTGAGACAGGGCCGGAATCACCCATTTATCAATGGGGGGCCATGTTCAAGCCACTCTCTGCAATCCAACCCTCCAGGGGGTTTTGGGGGGAATTCCCTCCAAGAGACATTTTTAGAAGCTAAACAGCAGCCATTTTAGAGTATTTTGAGACAAACATCTTCGATCAGGGGTTTTGAAAGTTTTGATGACTTAGTGCCATTTTAGGGAGCCAGCATATGACTAAAGCCCAGCACGCAGGAAAAATGTACACTCACACTTTTTTTATGACAAACTATACTATGATACTAACACTTTATAAAATTGGCAATGGACAGTGATATAGCCTACATAACACTCATATTACATCCTAGTTTTCCACTTTTTAACACATTTGAATGTAATGAAATAGAGAATCAGTACAGATATATTGATTATACCTACCCACAGCAGCTGAGTAATGGCTTCCACTGGGTCCACCACATGCACAACTGTGGAACCAATATTAATAATAATGGCAATCTGTTAAGTTTATTCATTGGAGTCTTGTGGGGGGTAGTGCAGGACTATGGGATACTGGGGTGCTGCTATGAGCCATCCGGTCCCTGTATGACCAAAGTGAGAGTTGCATCCACATACTCGGCGTAAGGTCAAACACATTCTCGGTGGGTGTTGGCCTCCGCCAGGGTTGCCCCTTGTCAGCAATCCTGTTTGCGATATTCATGGTCAGGATCTTGAGGCATAGCCGGGGGGAAGAGGTCTGGTTTGGGGACCTCAGAATTGCATCTCTACTTTTCACAGATGATGTGGTTCTGTTGGCTTCATCACACTGTGACCTCCTGCATGCACTGGGGCAGTTTGCAGCTGAGTATGAAGCGGTTGGAATGAGAGTCATCACCTCCAAATCTGAGTCCATGATTCTCTGGCAGAAACCGGTGGATTGCCCCCTACAGTTTGGGGAGAGTTACTGCCTCAAAGATTGAGATTGTGGATACAAGTGGCCAAAATGAGTTTCCTTTTTGGGGTGGTTGGGCTCAGCCTTAGAGATAGGGTAAGGAGCTCAGACATCCCAAGGGAGTTCGGAGTAGAACCCATCTCCTTTGTGTCGAAAGGGGTCAGCTGAGGTGGTTTGGGCATCCGATCAGGATGCCTCCTGGGCACCTCCCATTAGAGGTGTTTCAGGGCGCATCCCACTGGTAGGAGTTTCCGGGGCAGACCCAGAAGCTCATCTGGCCTGGAAACCCTTGGGGTCCCCCAGGAGGAGCTGGAAAGCATTGCTGGGGAGAGGGATGTCTGGGGTGCTTTGCTTGGCCTGCTGCCCCCGCAATCTGGCCCCGGATAAGCAGATGAGAATGGATGGACGGATAACTGTAGTTGCACTAATGATTATTTCAGACAGCAGTGCTTGTTTGCCTGTTGCAGCAGAGTAAATTTATATTTTTTTAATCTGTATATTGGGGTTGGGGTGTCCCCCCAAATATATATTATGATAACTGCCTTGGTTTGAGAAACGTGTACTAATAATAACAATGTACAATTTGTTTTGTTTGCGATGTCCTTCTTACAAAACAGAAAATGGTAGTAGGGTGTCCCAAGAAATAGTAATGAAATCCCAGATCACTTGCATTTTAAGTACTTTCAACAATAACAATGAAATGTTTTTCTGGAAAACGTCCTCCAACAAACTATTCGTAGAATCAGGCTGCCAACAGTTTATCTTGATGGGCAGTGATCCAGTTCTGTTTGGGGCATGATTCCTTCGAGAATATATCTTGTTGTGAAACCATCGTGAAACCATCGTCAGCTCGGGTTCTTCTTCTTAAAAAAATATTCCTACTCTATCAACTGTGACTACTACCAGTCAGAGCTTGGGGGGGCGCCTGACACAGGGCCCCAAAAGTCTCACGTTCACAGGGAAGGTTGGGTGGGCAGTTCTTCTGACCCCACCTGGTGCCATTGGTATCATTGGGGATCCTTTAAATTAATAAATAAATAGACTAAAAAATTAAAAAGAGAGTACATAAACTATTGAAAATAATAAACCATTCTGACCTGTTTTTAAATGTTATGTTAAAGTTAACACATTTGTAGAGTTACGATTTATTTAATAGGAACAAACAAACAAAAAGGATTCACATTGTGAACATGGACAAGGTGTCCCTTGGATGCACCAGAAGACAAGTCATTCTGGCTGAGCTCCAAGAAGAGTGATTCAAAATGCATATGTCTGAACAGATGATGACAGCCGCACTGGGAGGTTTGTGAACCACTGTCTCCCTTTGGCACCGCTTATCTGAATCTAACAAATTCTTTTCCACATAAGTAAATGTGACTTTTGACACAATTTATTTGCCAACATGCTGAGCAATTTGTACCTACTGATGGGTCACAGATGGGTCATTAGATAAAAACAACATGTGTAGCCCTGTGAAGAGAATGATAATTCAAACAAAATTATATAGCAGTAGGTCACTTTAAACTTACTTGAATACAGTTTACAAACTCAGTCTACCACAGCTGATATATATATTTTTAAAACAGACAAATGTGTTAAATCTTACTTCAGCCTACTCTGAGTTCTTTTAAATCAAGGTTGAAGATTTTTCTATTTGTCGCTGCCTTTTATTAAATTAAATAGTTATTAATTTCTTACACTGCGCTGTAAATTTTATTATTCAATTTTTTTTACTACAATGTAACTTTTATTAATCACATATTTTTATTGATTTTAATTGCACCATAACTTTTGTTATTCAGTTTTTTTATTGATTTTAATTTCACTATTACTGTTGTTATTCAGTTTTTTATTGATTTTAATTGCACTATAACTTTTGTTATTCAGTTTTGTTTATTGATTTTAATTGCACCGTAACTTTTATTCTTGTATTATATATTTTAACTTATTAATTTCTATTCTCTACTTCTTCTGAATTGTTTTTAAATGTCCTTTTATTTTTTGCAGTATGTCTTGATGATTTTGATGTTTCATGTAGAGCAATTTCAGTTGCCTTGTTGCTGAAATGTGCAATAAATAAATGTACCTTGCCTAAATTCCAATTAATCATAAGACTAAAGAAAACAAATAGAAAATAAAATAAAAATAAAAAATTGATTTCTTCATTTCTTTTGTGTCCCTACCCCTTCCCCCAAGAGGCTTTATCTTTTGCCAGGCAGCCATTGTAAATATATATTTTTTTCATAATGACTTGACTTGAATCCCATCTTAAATACATAAATAATAATTGAATATTTAATTATTCCAATGGATTTGCACAATTCGTTTTTAAGAT